AGCACTGACTTCTATTGAGATCAAATATAGTCATTCTAAATATATTATAAATTAATTCATATTTATAAAAATTGCAGGTTGCTTTCTGCAAATAATGAATAAAATGTCTTATTCAATAGCGTCTACATTATTTTTTGTACTTTATTAAAACTAGCAATTGCTTTAATTCGAACAAGACTAATTAAGCAAGAAATGAAATGAAGCAATTCAATGTGCTACAATTGTGCTAAATGCAGAAAAATCAACGACATGTTCATAATGATCAAGCTGATATTTTTCCAATTCCAATTTTCCTAAAACATAATTTTGCTCTACAATTCTACGATATTAAAGATTTAAAATATCAGATAAGTTGGCACAAGATTTATAGAAAGAGTGCGTGTTTGTTCAAGTGCATATATATTTAAGCTCAAATACTGCAAAGAGTAATGCCAACAGGACAGCACTCATTTTATTGCTTTTATGTTAAAGTTGCTATAAATATTTAACATGAACTTTTACTGTTGCCTCGAATGCTGACGAAATGCGGAGGGCAATGTCAGATTATTTCTGCTAAAGATACCAGATACGAACTAGAACATAATAACAAAATATAAATATAAATATATATATATATATACAGAGTGCCCCAGAACTCTACATCAACCGAAAATCGTAATTATCATAGAAAAATCAGTATAGTACTAATAGTATTAATAGTACAAAAATTTAAGCTTTGAAGAACATCCTAAAGTTATTGTGGTCAATCTTTATTAATTTTGTTCAACTAAACTTTGGAACCGAAAGAGCAAATAATATTTATAGAGTGACAGTCGAAACAATTGTCACAAATATCCTAGAATTATAACTATTTGATACTTAAAATTTGAGTTTAAAAGTTTCAAAATTGGTCCAACTCGGAAAGCCCTTATTTAAAAAAAATACTAGAGTGTGTTAGTAAGTTTTATTAAAGGTTTGTACATTTAATCAGGATAGTTTTATAATGTAAAAATCGATTAAAAATATACAATTTTATTAAAAGTTAACTTATTTTCATTCAAACGACTTCGCAGTTTGCCGAATCAGAAAACTTTACCTAGAGATATCTATAAATTTTAATTCGATCGAATAGCATTAAACAATGAACCTAAATCCGTTCAGAAACTTTTCCGATATCTCTCATTTTGATATTTTACGCGTGATGCCTATTTCCAAAATACAGTATTAAATTTTGACAGTATCAAAAGGGGGATCGTTCGTAGAGCTTCGGATAATCCTGGATTTAAACTGAAAACACAGCGAATCCTTGTTACGTTTTTATGCTTTGACGCTACTTTTACTACTTTTTATTTCGCACAAACTTTTTTTTAAATCTCTTTAATTATGCATTAGATCTTTTGAACCGTAACATCTGCTTTGCTAACAATCTGGTTTGCTAATGTTGTAAAATTTTAGTTTTTCAGACGGCCGTTCTGTACTTATCAAATTTGAATAATATTTGAATTTTGAACTTATTTTATCTCTGAAATAAAATAAATTTCGTCTATCTTACCATTTTATATCATTTCAAAATATAATATTTATGTAGCATAGTTTCTAGAAAATAATGTAAATATTGCAATTTTTAGTTGCAAACTAAAAATAAAATTGTTACACAAATTTCGCTATAATTTTCAAAATTGTTCTAGGAATAAAACAATTAAAATTATGTATTATAGTATCATTTATATATAGCAAGCATTGTAAATTGAAGATATATATATATATATATATATATATGTGTGTGTGTATGTTGTACATGGTGATATATAACCAATATATTATAACAATCAATTTTTATTCCAAATCTATAACCCGACGCAGCAAAATCTCTACCGTGAAATTGCCAAAAATAATTAACCCTCGACTTTTTGCATGCTCCGCCATTTACAATTTATGAAATTCTCTTTTATAAATCATAGATGATAAATTATATATTGCAAAATTCAATTTGAAGTAAAAGAAAGAGTAATAGTTTATGGTGGTTCCGTACAAAAAATTAGCGCTGAAAAATATATATGTTTAAACGCCTTTGGAAGTGAATTTTCGATATTGAGTTTAGAATATCATTATAATGTAAGATAACATTATAAATAATAAGAATACTATTCAAGTGTATAGCAAACATGAATATGTTACTAAAATATTTTTGGCAACAAATAAAATTGTATTAAGAATGAATTATAAAGCAAAATTGATGTTTTGAATATATAGTAAGAATTCGAATGTTCAAAGAATTTTTTTTTATTTTGAAATATTTAGGAAATTTTGAAATTTTGTTGAAGCAATCGCACTGCTTTAGCTGCATAGAGATAAAACATCGAAGCGCGTAAGCGCCGCGTTGCCGTCTAACAAACCAACGATGTTAGGGAACCCATAGAAATGTAAACAAAATTGATTCACATTAATAAAATTTTTGACCACCAAATGGCATTTTTTTCACTTTTTTTACTAGATCTCCGAAACAGCTAAATCTGCCTTCCCAAAAGTCACTTCTTCATCTTGTCAATACAAGTAAAATGTTTTTTGAATCATTAAAATCAGACGCTCTGTTCTCTTAAAAACTTAGTATCTTAGGAAGGGCTAGACCTGCCTCTGAATCATTACAAATCGAATGTTTTCTAAATCATTCAAATCAGTTGATCGGTGTTCCCAAAATGTCGACAAAAATTTGTATTTGCGCACACACACACATTCATTTTTTCTAAAGTATGCCAAAATGCTCAGAAACATTTGAAACGTAAAGATATTTAAGATTTTATATTTTCGATTTTTTTGCCATTACTAAACTCACCCTACAGGAAGTTAAAAAATGAATAATAATACAATTAATCAAAAATTCAGAATTTAAACAAATTGTGTTTGATTCTTTAAGAATAATATTCATTAGAAAGTAGATTAAAAAATTATTCGACGTTACGAAAATGCATTGAATTTAAATATTTCTTTATAACAATATCTATACGAGTGCAAATGGTTAGGGTTCACAGAGTATATTTGTTCAAATTCATTTATAGTCGCATTTAAATAATTTGTACAAAAACCCTCAGAAATAAATTTGAATAGTGAAAAATATTGAAATTTCAATAAAAAATATTGAAATATTTTTTACTATTACAAAAAATCATTGGTGTTAACCATAACTATACGGGTACAAAGGTTACTTACTTAGTTGTAAAGAGATTATATTTTAACAAATCAGCGGAATCACCAGAAATAGCACCTTGGTTAAAACTAGCTGTAAGCGGAATTCTGTCTTGAGGCAATTATGGCATCGTGCCTTAAGGCAAATTGCTGGAACTTCCCGTTGAATACTGAATGTTTTCAAATAGATTATTATAAATATTGTATCATTGTCTAATATAAAATAATAAAATAAAATCTGAAATATTTTCGATACACAAAAAACTAAAAAAAAAAAAGAAAAAAAATTGAACAAAATTTTTTTTTCCAAAATCAATTATTTTGTTAAGACAAGCATAAAGTTCTTTGAATCATTTAAATCGGACGCTTAGTTCTCTCAAAAACTGCCATTTTTTACATATTTAGCTCCTTATCTTTGAAATGGCTGAGCCTGCCTTTGCCAAAAAATAATTAACACTTCTCCCAATCATTACTAATTGAATGTTTTTTAGAGCATTCAAATCGGATACTTCGTTCTCTCAAAAATTCGATTTCTATTTTCTGCACTCTTTGCTCTCCGTTCTCTCTGCCAACCATTAAGAATACAAACGTCAGAAACCGGTGCCAAACAACCTACACATTTTTGCAAGTAGATAATCATAAAAAACGTGAAACATTATTGGAAAACTACGGAAGAGACATCAAAATGTAACGTCAAAACTTGTAATTTGTTTACAAGTTACATCTTGCACTTTGTAGGTTGATCTTGGGTGGGGTATTTAATTAAAGAGCAAAAACAATATTACAATAATAACTTAAAACAATTAAAAAATATTTGAATCATTAGAACTTTATTAATTTCATTCCAATGTTAATCGAAAAGCTTATTATCAATTAATAACATTAGTTAGCATCAAGAAGTTGTCGACGTGAAATTTGAACAAAGCGGCAATCAAAGTCTTGATGTATTATTTTAGAATTTCATATCGATATATAAGTTAGCTAAACTTTTCACATTCAATATAAGTTAAGTATATTTGTTACTGGATTATCTACTACGATCCAAATTCTATCCCAGCCAACATGATGAATTTTCTGAGGGTAACAATTTTTACCAAACTATCATTTCGTAGACGAGTAAAAAAATAAAGGGGACAAAACAGACGCGTGAACTGAATAACAATAACATCGCTTCCATTGAAAGAAGAAAATATGATTAATGTAGTTAGGTGTATCATTGATTCATATATTTTTCTGCACGTCTCGACGAGAGATATCCTTCTTATGAGGAATTGTATATAAGACATTAAATGACAATTTAGAGACGTAATATATTAATGACTCTGTATAATACGTGAAATACTTCTGCTTTGCATTTATAAAAAATATCGCAGCTCAATTTAAATATCTTCGTGATATTCACCTAACGTGTTATATAGCACAACAGTCCAATGTTATGATAAGGCCATGTTATGCTCCAACTTGCATACATTATGCTACTGAATCATACTGAATACTGTCAAAATGCCATGTATTTCCTGTGCATTTAGGCATTTAGGCGTTTTATACATAAACTGCAACGTCACTCTTATGTTGCAAAGCTGCGACATACACAGCAACCACATGGCTTTTGCAAATATTTAGTATGGAAAGTTCATCACATAGCATTGGTCTGTTGAGCGGCAGAATCGGCTCATGTAGGAAATGGGAAGATTTTTTGCATTTCCATGTTTGGTTGTATTTTATAAAAATTGGTGAAGTGTCCAAACCTTTTTGAACATTAAGAAGAAACATCTTTTGAAATGGGTATTAGCATGTGATCGCACCATTAAATCTGAAAAAGAGCTTAAATCACTCACCGTAAGCAAAGCACCGATTCTTCTGGGACATCGGATTACCCATTTGTTGTCTAAAAGAGAAACAATACGTTTAAAATACAATACTAGATAATTATAGAAAATATTTCAATTCGAGAATACTGTAGGATTCAATTAATATTCATTAAGATTAATATCATTTGTATTTACCTCAATTCTCAGAAGCCTATGTCAGAAATCCAGGTCACTGAATAGACGACAACTCATTTATTTTGTAAATGTATAAGTAAAAAGAAACACAAATTCACACTACACTAAATAAAGTTACTTTTAAAAACAATTACTAATTTACAAGCACTAAACAAAATAAATTACTTATAAAAAGACATAAAAAATCACTAAAAAATCACACTAACTATAAAAAGACACTAAAATAGCACTCAAAATTGGAATTAGTAAAGTTTAAAATGAGTTGAACACACTGAAACGCACTCGATAGTACCACAGCATTATGTTTACAAATTAAACAACGCAAATCTGAAACAAAAATTATAAAATCTTTAACATAATATTGTTTTAATATATGTTTTGATGCATTTTTACAATGAACATAAAATGATAAACTTTTCCTGAAGGAACTATTTGAATAGATATAGAAATATATTTGTAGATACATACATATGGGGCAAAATATATGTACCGGTGTGAGTTAAATTAAAACAGTTTAAAACTAGCTGTAAGTGGAATTCTGTCTTAAGGCAATTAAGGCATCGTGCCTTAAGGCAAATTGCTGAAACTTCCCGTACCAAAAATTATTTTTTTTAAAAACGATTAACATTTTTGAAAAAAATTTACTTCGAAAAAATAAGATTTTTGAGAAACTATAAATGGACAAAAAATTACTTTTTTTTGAAAAAAAATTTTAAAAAAAAAAATTTAAATTTGTTTTTTTTGAAAAAAAAAATGTTTTCTTTATTTGACATATTTTGGAAGATCTGACCTTTTTTCAAAGCAATCGTACTGCTTTACTGCATAAAGACAAAATATAAGAGCGCGTAAGCGCCGCGTCGCCGTCTAACGCGTAAACATTGGTACGGAACCCATAGGAATGTAAAACAAATTCATACTTATTGTTAAAAATCTCTATAAAATATCTGATAATTTGATGTGCATATGTCTAATGATCATTTTGACCGCCAAAGGCATTTTTTTTACTTTTTTCATTAGATCTCCGAAAACCGCTAGACCTGCCTTTATGAAAATTTGGTCAATTCTTCATCTTGTCAATACAAGTAAAATGTTTTTTGACTTATTCAATTGGACACTCCGTTCTCTTAAAAACTGAGTTACCGTTTTCGGCACTTTTTGCCCCGTATGTTTGGACGGCTAGACCTGTCTTTGCCAAAAACTAATCAGCACGTCTCTTATCAATACAAATCGAATGTTTTTGAATTATTCAAATCGCTTGATCCGTGTTCCTGAAATCGTCGACGAAAATTTGTATCCGCACA